TTCATTCATGCCACAAACACTTACTGAGCACCCGTCCTGTGCTAGTATTGCTTTAAGCTCTAGAGATACAGCCAGGAAGAGTCAGGCTAGGTCTGGGCACTGAAGGAGCTTGAGCTTTAGTGGCAAGAGAGACAGTGAACAAAGGAGTAAACAGTTTCGGGAGTATGTTTCCACTGAGCTCTTTTAAAAAAATAAATTTGTTTATTTTTGGCTGCATTGGGTCTTCGTTGCTGTGCACGGGCTTCTCTGGTTGCAGTGAGCCGGGGCTACTCTTCGTTGTGGTGCACGGGCTTCTCATTGCAGTGGCTTCTCTTGTTGCGGAGCATGGGCTCTAGATGCGCGGGCTTCAGTAGTTGTGGCTCGCGGGCTCTAGAGCGCAGGCTCAGTAGTTGTGGCGCACGGGCTTAGCTGCTCCGCGTCATGTGGGATCTTCCCAGAGCAGGGCTCAAACCTGTGTCCCCTGCACTGGCAGGCAGATTCTTAACCACTGCCCCACCAGGGAAGTCCCTCCACTGAGCTCTCGTCACCATTGGGAGCACAATGCCTCATGCATCGCTTTGCCTAGACGTCCCTTGTATACCTACAGCAAACCTGGGTGTATAAAAAGCTGGGCACAGATTGAATTATAGGCATGAAACAGTTCTGCCAAATATTTACATTATAATTATTGAGCTGTGTAATCACCAAGACTGGTCTCCAGTTGGCTTGTTAACCTCTGTTTCCCAGCCTGTAACCTCAATACATACACAGATGCTGAGTACAACTGAACCCTGCAGGTGGGTATATCTTTTTGGAACTGAACTAATCTCCCCTGATTGATCTGATCAGTATCATTTTTCTTGAGAAAAAAAAAAAAATCTACAGTGAGATTGATAGTTTTTCCTTTTATTCAGTGAGATTTTACATGTTCCCCTCATCCCCATCACGTGCTTTGGCCTGTTAGAATTAGAGGTGTAGTTCCCAGCTCTGTCTGGCTTGAGGGTGGTAGCCTGGCTGATGTCAAAACTTCTTACAGGAGCTGTTGTGCTTATGTTTATGCGTGTCTATATATGGTTATATTTGGGGATGGTGGCCTTCTAGTTCTCAGCCTTTGTCAGTTGTTTGGCTGAGAGAGAGTTAACAGGTGCGTCTTTGGTTTGGCCCAGAGAGGGTCTCGGCCCTCTACCATGGTAACCTGCATTCAGAGTTTGTTGGAGTGAATGACTTCCAAATCTCCCCCAGCTTCATGTAGGCCTGGCACGTTGTGGGGAGGAAACCCATGTGTGTTGTGGGCTCCCTGTCAGGAAGAATTTTTACTTGGTGATTCTGGGCTCCACAGTGATGTGGGTTTTCGCTGTTTTGAACAGAAGTGACCCCCTCACCCCAACCTTGGTAGTTGCGATTTTGCAGATTTTTCCACCCGGCGCACACTTCCGGGCTCTTGGTGAACTTTAGCACCCACGTGCTACAGTGTGGCGTTGGCTCCGGGCTGGAGCCTCTTGGCTTTTCTGTCCAGCTGCAGTGCTAAGTCATCTTTTGAGTGTGAGGAGATGAGAGACACGATCTATCTTGTAGTCAGACTGGTGAAGTCGTAATATTTTTGCAACCAGAGCTGGAAGCTGAGTCACAATGTGTGTGATTCAGGCCTTGCTTTCTTACCCAAGGTAATTTCGAGAGGTGTGAAGTCAGGAAAAGACCCACAGTTGTCGCTGCCCCCGTAGAAAAAGCCCCAAGCGCTGAGCTTCTGTAGCCAAGACAGGGCTCAGGCCCCACCTGGAAACATTCCAGTCTCCCACTTTATGACGTTCACTGGCCTCCACCGTGAATAACCTTATTGAGAAAACGCTATCGGTCCTTCACCTGCTTTTTAGAGTCTGTCTTGTTTTATATTTTGTTTATGTTAACCATGTTTGTAGAAAGGAAAAAAAAGATAACTTTTTTCTAAAATTAACATCCATATAACTCAGAGACTTGGGACGTACTGTAGTTAATGTCTTAGTTTGGAAATGGGAAGTCTTACCTTTCAGGATAAGTCAGCAGGGAAATGACCTTCTGTGAAATCTCAGAAGATATTTGAAAGAAATAGAGGTAGAAATGGTTGCCTTAGACACCGATAGCTTCTGTGATTTTTGAACTATTAGGAATAAAAGGCTTAGCGGTGCATGGCGAACAGACTGGATGTGCCCTGAGAGGGAGGAACAGAGGAGGGCACGGGTGAAGGTCAGCGGACCCAGGCTCCCAGGTCACAACTTTGTGCTGAACTAGAGGAGCGACTTCGAGGAAGCAGCTTAACTGGTCCGTTCTCAGCTTTCACCGGAGATAATCAAACTGACGTTGCAGGGCGTTGTGAGAATAAAAAGTAGCTGAGAGGGTCGAACACCTAACCATGCTTGAAACGTAGTGAGCCCTTCATAAATGGGAGCAGCCGTTCCCATTCACTGTCATTGTTTCACCTCCAAGGTATTATTCTGGGTGCTCCTGACTTTGTGCAAAATGCATTTAGACACACAGAGTGAAATAGGAGACTGCAGAGAAGACTAACCGAAGTGGTAGAGAGTTGAAAAGGAGACCTATTAAAAAAAACACAAGCTTGAAAGAACCGATTATTTATGGGGGAGAAGGGAAGACTGGAGGGCGACCGAATGTCTTCAAGGTGTTGAGGCGTCGTTATGTGGAAAATTATAGCCAGCTGTTCTCCATCTCCACGGAGGTCGAGAGAACCGGGGCCGACGGGACAGGCAGAGCCAAAGAAGGAAAGGGGAAGCAGTAGAAATGACAAAATATAAATCAGGAGCAAACACAGAGAGCATGGGGCGGGGGAGGGCGTGAGTCTCAAGGAAGGTGCCAGAAAAGTTGGTGTCAACACTTCCCATGAACTGCTGAGCTGCAGAGCGTGGAACCCGGTCCCCTCGCTTCAGCCTGCCCCCCATCTCTTGCCGTGGGCGCCAGCTTGCTCGTAGCTCATGGCCACGCCTGTCTAACCCAGGGCAGCTGGACTGAATAGTTGGCACTTGACTTGGAGCGGTGTCTCAGTCGGGGCCCATCTTGCTTCTTTAGGGTGCAGCTGTCTGGAGGCATTTTCTGTCGTCGTGACTTGGGAGGGGGGGAGGAGGTGCTGCTGGCCTTGGTGGGCAGGGGCCTGGGGTGCCGATGATACACATGCTACACTGCACAGGAAAGCCTCCCACAGCAAAGCATTTTCTGGCATCAAAACATCAGTAGTGCTACTATTGAGAAAACCTGGATTAGAGGAATAGAACATCATAGCCTGGGCTTTCTTAAGGCTCATTAGTTTACGCCAAAGCATTTTTTCCCTCCATTTACACCAAACCGTGGAACTGAATGGTTAGAAGACTGTTACAGCATTTGCTATTCTAAGAAAATGTGTGGATTCCATTATAATCATGTGTTTCTTAGCTGTCTGCTCTACTGTGGTTTAAAAATATTTATATTTCTAAATAAGCGACTGACTCTTTGTACAGGGAAAATAACATATGCATTAGAGCTCCAGGGAGTGTGGTGCAGACACCACCTTCCACGCTTCCTCTGCCCAGATTCTTGCTGGCCAATTAATCGCTGCATTCAAGGGCTCCCAGGGCAGGGACTGCCCTGCACTGAGAATGTGCTGGTTGAGAGAAAGACAGGGCTTCAGGTGGGAAAATTCCCCAGGGGCCAAACACAGGCCAGCAACAAAGGGAGGCCTCCCAGAGTGAGCGGCTTCACACAACATCCTGATGCTCTGGAAATGTTGCCACTCGGTGACCCTGAGGGTACAGCACACTTTCCTGACTTACTAATACATTTGCTCTTTCTAAATAATATATGTTGTGTGTGTCCATCTGTAAACTTTCAGAGTCTTCTGAAATTCAGACACAGCATGAAAGCACACGCTATATTTGATCCTTGCATAAATAGCACAGATTTTAATTTTATCCCAGTTACGGATATCTGGTGCGTGTGCCGAAACTCTGGGCAGACTGGTGTGAAATTTAACTTGAGCAGCTAAACACAAGGGTGAGAGAGCACAAAATAAACAAGCACACACACTTCCAGCCCTACAGCATTTGGTATGTGAATGGGAAAAGCACCCAAATCCTCTCTCTCTTTTATTTTTTCCCTTGTGACAGTCAGATTACAGATTGTCTGTAAAGGCACAAATCCTCCACATCTCCCACGCCACCCCTTTCTCCCCCGGAAGGCTGCCTGCAACCATTTCATCTGCCTAAGTTCTTCTGAGGTGGAGTTGGAGTTTCAGTGAATGAAAGTGTCCAGGATGCTTTGTTTTCAGATTTGAACTTAGATTAGAGATCCCCTTGGTTTCCAGAAAAGGAAAACAGTCTCCTTGAGAACATCTTGGAAGGGGAAACAGGAATGGAATTGGAAACGATGGGAAATAACAGACTTGCGGTTTGGTAGATGGGCATGGGGAGCTCGGTTTGGGCAGTTACAGAGTTTGTGACCCATAGAGAGTTACTTAAAAGCTCAGTTCCTTGCTTTACTAATTTGTAAAAATGGGAATAACTCCAGCCTAATAGAGTAGCTAGGGAGGTACACAGTGGTGGCACATAGGTGCTCCGAGAATGTCATTTTCCTTCCCCCTTAAAGACATCTGTGACATCTGTAAGTCCAGCCTAAATGCCACTTGCAGAGGAAGTAGGATGCGCTGATGGTTGCTGCTGATAATCATTCGTGTTGGTACAAATTCTGTTCTTCTCTCCCCCTTTAATCACCTCCATTCAGGAATTAGCCAGCACCTTTCAGCCTGCCCACCCCTATTTATAGGTCATTCTGGGTATTAAGTACACAGAGAGCTTTCGGCCTTAGAAACACCTGTGTGTGCCGGCGGACTGTGTTGATTGGGGGGGTTGGAGGAGGGACGGCGGGCATGTGCGTGCAGTTCACGGACCCGGAGCCATGAGAAGTAGCAACCGTGGATGGGTGAGTCTCTCCTTGTCCCGAGAGGGGACGTCTGCCTTCCATCAGTAAAAATTCCCGTCTTTATATTCAATTTGTCTCCACAGAAGAGCGCGTTGTCCCCATTGAAGTATGCCGATCCAAACTGTCAAAATACTTGCAGGGAGTAGTTTTCCGCTGTGATAAGTGTACCTTCACCTGCTCCAGTGACGAGAGCCTCCAGCAACACATAGAAAAGCACAATGAACTGAAACCTTACAAGTGCCAGCTCTGCTACTATGAGACCAAGCACACGGAGGAACTGGACAGCCACCTTCGGGACGAGCATAAGGTATGGGCCTGGCCTCCCTCCTCCCCCTCCACCCCCAGCACACCTGGGGGAGGGGCCGGGCTGAATTTAGCCACACCCACTGTGTGCAAGACAGAGACACGCGCCAAAGTAATGTTTAAAATGAGGTTCAGTTTATTCTTTTATAAAAGAACTGTAAGGTCGTTTTAGAAAAGTGGAACACGTAGATGGGGGAGAGAGAACCACCTGTAATGCTACCCCCACATCCAGCTGCTTAACATTTTTGGTCTCTTCTCTGCCCACTTTCCTTTGTTTTATTTAATTATGATTCTACCTTACATGAAAGAGTATATCTTTCCTTTCTTGTTCTTAACTTACCCTAACTGGAGTATTTTTCCTTTTTTTTTTTTTGCGGTACGCGGGCCTCTCACTGTTGCGGCCTCTCCCGTTGCGGAGCACAGGCTCCGGATGCGCAGGCCCAGCGGCCATGGCTCATGGGCCCAGCTGCTCCGCGGCACGTGGGATCTTCCCAGACCAGGGCACGAACCCGTGTCCCCTCTGTCGGCAGGCCGACTCTCAACCACTGCTCCACCAGGGAAGCCCTTCATGTTATTTTAAATGTACTATCACAAGAGTTGATGAACTTTTTCCGTAAAGGGCTAGATGGTAATAGTTCAGGCTTGCAGGCTAGGTGGTCTCAGTGGCAGATACTCAGCTCTGCCCTTGTAGCAAGAAAGCAGCCCTAGACGAGACAAAAATGAATGGTCATGGCTGTGTTCCAATAAAACTTTATTTACAAAATTAGGCGACAGGCTGTAGACCCTTAGTTGCCGGCCCCTATTCTATCAGATGGCTCTGCCGGCGTGTCCCTCAGTCATGTAGGTTGTTTCTGATACATTGCTGACTACAAAAATTTTCCAAGGCTTTGCTATTCATGTCTGAACATTGTAAGGGTCGTGCAGTATGTGTTTTATTTGTGGAGAGAACAGATTAGTATAGGACATAAAATAAGGGGTTTATGAAAAAGAATGCTCTTCCAAAAGTCTGCTGATCAGAGGGTAAAATCATCCCAGATGGCTTCCTCACTTCTCTGAGGACTTGTGTGGCACATCAGGAGTTGAGACAGTTGTTTCTGGTTTTGTATATTGTCCAGAGTGTGGGGAGTGTGTGTGTCGGGGAGGTAGGGATGATCAGTATTTGTTTCACGAAAAGAGCCTATTGAAATGTTTTCTAATTAACCAACAAATCCAAAACATCTAGTGCATGTTTACCTAAGGCACAATGAGAAGCATTTTTGATACTGTTTCCTTTTTTCCTTGCTCTGTGTACTGTCAGTGGAAGTAACAGCTTCTCTTTTCTGGACTTACAAACCCAAGTTATAAAGATTCCTGTCTGAGTCATCTGCACCCAAGGGTTAGAATTTTTCTGTGGGGTGTTGAGAGAGAAGGCTGAGCTTTATCACCCGTCTACAATGTAATGGTTTGATGCTAACTTTTCTGCTTTGGCATGCCTTCATTTTCTAATGTGTCTCCCCAAAAATGAAAGCAGAGAAGAAAAGCCTGAATTACCTCACTTAAAAACTTCAATACCCTTTCTTATCCAAACTTCCTGGGCATTTCTGCCCCCAAACTGAAAGGAAAATCACTTATCTATCTCAAGCTAAGCTTTCTACAGTTAGGCACATGTGCCTTATTTATGTAACCACCTCGGATCTTTTCATTATAGTGTTGAAGCCATCAGACTGATATTTTGGGACTGAGCAAACCAGGAAGGTAGATTCTTCCCCAGTGGTTGCACAGTAGCTGTGAGTCACTGGAGAATTCCAGAGAAGGCTAGAAACCATACCAGATGTGAAAGCAGGGGGAAATGTGGGGCTTTGGAATATGCATCAAGCAAATGGGTTACTCAGGAAACTAGGAGCCCAGTTTAGAACTTTTGGAGCCAAACAGACCTAGGTTTGAATTTTGTCTCCACCATTTACTGTACAGCAGGTTACTTCAACTTCTCTGTCTGTTTCCTGATTTCTAAATGGGAACCAGTATACTCTTCTCAGAAGTTTTGTAAGATTAAATGAAGTCCTGGTATTTCCCACACTTTGAGAGCCACGTCTCAGTCTATTTGTGAATTGAACTGTGCTCAAATATAACAACAACCTATCAGAAAGGCAGTTATGTCCCTAAAGACCTAAAATGGACTATAAAATCACTAACTCTACTTTGCATTTTAGACGTGGTCTTTGATATGTTATATTTTCATTATGCCATGTTCGATTCTTTAATCTTACTCCCTCTCATGGTTGACCAGCTTATTAAGTCCAACAAGCACCTAATCGAGGCTAAAGAATTGCCACTCTCAGCATGGCTAATGATTTTCATCTTTGTCTCAATCGTTGTGAAGTTTGAAGCCCGTGCTTATTAACTATTCCTTCTTTTCTAAATGATGAATACAAAATGCAATTTGAATTTTTGAAATAATTATCCAAACACTATTTTATAAACATAGACAGCAGTGCTGCTGAAAGTGAATTTTTGACTGATAGGCAGTGACATTATGCCCTAATTAAAAATGGTCATTCATTGGGGTGAAGGATATACAACAGCCTGATTTCAGCATTCATGAAAAGGGTATAGGAGTATCAATAAACAATGTACTAAAGAGAAGTTTGCTGGTGATTGAAATACAAAAGTCAAGAACCATGAGGCAAGAACAAGAAATTAAAGCCATAAGAATTGGAAAGGAAGGAATAAAACTGCTTTTGTTCACAGACAGTGTGATCTTTGTAGGTAGAAAATCCTAAATAATCTATTTTAAAAGATACTAGAATATTAGTGAGTTTAGCAGAATTGAAGGATATAAGATCAATATACAAATGCCAATTATATTTCCATATACTAGTAATGGACAGTCTGAAAAAATGAAATTTTAAGAAAAGCAGTTTCATTTATAATATCAAAAAGAATAAAAATGCTTAAGAATAAACAAGAACTGTGAAAGCCATATGCTGAAAACTACAAAATGTTGTTGAGAGAAATAAAAGAACTAAGTTGATGCAATATATACCATACTCATGGATTAGCAGACTCAATATTGGTAATGCTTCCCAAACTTATCTACAGATTCGGTGTAATGAATCTATCAAAATCTCAGTAGGCGTTTTTCTTTGGTAGAAATTGACAGACTGATGCTAAAATGTATATGGAAATGCAAGGGACCTAGAATAGCCTGAACAGTATGAAAAAAGAACAAAATTGGAAGACTCACCCACCCTTCCTTATTTCAGAACTTTTACTGTAAAGCTACAGTAATCCAGAAAGTGTGGTATTGGTATAAGGACAGATGTATGGATCAGTGGTGCAGAAGAAAAAGTCGATAAATAAACCCTAATATATGTGGCCGGTTGATGTTCATCAGAGGTGCCAAGGGAATAAGGAAAAGATAGCTTTTCAACAAATAGTGCTGTTACCATTGGATTTCCATATGGAAAATAGTGGTTGTTGACGCTTACGTCGCTCAAATTTCTCTCGGGGAAAAAATTCTTAGGTATGATACAATAGCTGTGAATATTAAAAGAAAAAAGATCAATAAATTAGATGTCATCGAAATTAAATTGTTGCTCTTCAGAAGACACCATTAAGAAAATGACAAGGCAAGCAGCCGATTGGAAGCAAATATTTGCAAAATATCTAACAAAGGACTTTAACCAAAATATATAAAGAACTTTTACAACTCAGTAGTAAGAAGATTAACAATTTAATTAAAAATGAGAAAAAGATCTGAATAGACACTTTACCCATGAGGATATACAAAAGGCAAATGATCACATGAAAAGATGCTTAATAGGACTCAGCATTAAGGAAATGCAAATTAAGACAACATCATTATGGAAATGCAAATTAAGACAATTAAATGCAAATTAGGTAGTAAGCCATCACTACCTCTCCACTAGAGTGGCAGAAATTAAGAAGACCAATAGCACCAAAGTGTTGGCAAGGATGTGGAGAAACTGGAAATCTCACACAGGGCTGAATGCAGTGTATAATGATGGCACATCTACCTTGGAGCATTTTGGCAATTTGTTTAAAAGTTAAACCTACACTTTACCATTTGATCCAGCAAGTCTACTCCCACATAAAGTGGTTGCATAAACAAAATGTGCTATATCCATACAATGGAATACTACTTATCAATAAAAGAAATTAGCTACTGATACATGTAACAGTATGGCTAAATATCAGATTCATCGTGTTAAATGCACAGAAGCCAGACACAAAAGACTGCATATTGTATGGTTTCTAGAAAAGTCAGAACTGAGGAGACAAAGCAGGTCAGAAGTTGCTTCAGGCTGGAGGTTTAGAGCAGGGATTGCTTGCAGAGGGTATGAGGGTATTTCTTAGAGTAATAGTAGAAGATTGTGGAGGGTTGTACAAATGCATACATTTACTAAAACTCATTGAAATGTTCATTTAAAATGGGTTAATTTTATGGTAAGTAAATTACATCTTAATACCTAAAAGATGCAAGTTCCCCGGGACCTGACACATGGTAGGTCCTCAGTAAATGTTAACTTTCTGCAGTCTTTTCTTATAAGGTTGATCCTGCGAACAGATAGATCTATAAAGATGCAGAGATGCAGAGGAATGTGTAAACTGCCAAAAATAAAATGTGCAATAGACTTAGCAGTTGGTTCTAAACTAAGGTTTACTGTTTTCTAGCAAAACAATGTGTTGTGTGCATTGCTCATTACATTCTTCCACAAATAGCTTTAGGTGATTTTGTGTGGTGGAGAGAATCTATACAAGAAATTAAAAGACACTGTAGGATGTATTTTCAGTCAAAGGATTTCATCATTAAACAGAAGTGGATATTCAAAACTGGACTCCTGGATTCTGCCTGCAAAGCTTGTAAACCTCAGGAATGTCTCTGAAGATGTCAGACTGTATCATTCATGGACTAGACAGAATACTGGTTCAGCAGGAAGCATC